GAAAGTACTCAAAACAATGTTAAAAGCTAACGGCGGCGAACAGGTTTTAATCAGCAGGGTCGCTTGCCAGGAACACACTGCATGCGCGCCGCGGTCTGTCAACGGGGGGGGGGTGAGCTTTTATTTCTATTACTACTACTATTGTCATTATTACGATTACTCCACTACTATTCCACTGTTCATCATGGTGACAATAGCAATATAATGTTGTTATCATCGCCACTATTCTATCATTTACCAGTATTTAAAAGTATCACTCTTATTCGACCTACCTGCCCAGCATCAAGAGGACTTTGAACAATGGCTCGGTTATTTGCAGTACGTACTAGCACTTAGCAGAGGGGCTTGAAACAGGAGAACATATTCACATACATTGTGTTGCGTGTTGTAGCTATACAGGGACCGTGTATTAGTACTGATAGTAATAGTAATGACAAAAGAAAAATAACAATAACAAGATCCGAAGCCCTTGCGCAATACTTGTATCTAAACCAGACTTTGAAGTAACCAGGGAGAAAAAAGTATAGACTTTAATTTCATAATGGTTACCTTAAGAATCAAGTTCCCAACAAAAGTATTCAAGTATGGTACTCCAGCACCCAGTCAACCATGAATCCTAGGCCTTCCTCCGCTAACCCCGCCTAGGCGACGACGCAAAGTCTGAAACCCCAGAGCCCGGCACCAAACCTTTCGGCTACAAGTCTAGGGTTCAGGGTTTAGGGTTTACGGTTTTGGGTTTACGGTTTAGGGTTTAGGGTTTAGAGTTTACGGTTTAGGGGTTCGGGTTTAGGGTTTAGGGTTTACGGTTTAGGGGTTCGGGTTTAGGGTTTAGGGTTTACGGTTTAGGGTTTGTTCGGCTACAAGTCGGATATTTGCGGCTTCTAAGTCTAACTTGCATTCACTACCAAGTGGTGGCTGAAGGATGGATTAGGGTTCGGGGGGTAAGGTACCACAGGGGCCTCAATAATAAGTACCATCTTTCCTTACAGCCCCTTACTGTGCTCACAGAACAAATGCACCCGACAGTAGAAGCCTACCAAACGGGTTTAGGGTTTAGGAATTTTACAAACCAATCGCGGCACCACCAGATCAAGGCTGGTTGTGGGATTCCTCTAAGCCCTTTTGAAAACCCCCTAGCCGAAACCCAGTGAGCAAAGCCTGCGGCCTCTGTGACCTTCTTTTGGGGTGCAGGGGTTTAGGGTTTAGGGTTTCGGGTTTAGAATCGTTGGGTATTTTGCTCGCGGAGAATGGATTGCAGGGATGGCTAGTACAAAGATCCAATGCAGGTATCTGATGTCTCGCACAGTCCTCCAGTGCTTCCCGCAAGGAGGGCTGGCTGAGATCGTACCCTTCAGCCTGCCATGGAAGTGAGCATATGAATTGCGCAATGTCGGGATGAGATTGTTCATGTTTGGTGGTTCGGTCAAAAAGCGTCAGGAGAGGTCTCTAGAGGGCGTAGGGCAAGGATCAACTCGGAGTTATAGGGATTTAGGCGATTTCGGGGTTTAGGGATTTAGGTTTAGGGTTTAGGGATTTATGTGATTTGGGGTTTCGGAGCGTGGATTTTGGTTGAGAACTGGAAGCTGCAAGACATTGAACCCCTATATGCCTGGAACCTGTTTTTTTTCGGGGCCCTGGCCCGCTGTTAGGCTGCACGCCAGATACCCTAAGGCTCTAAGGACTCATATTCTAGGTCTTGGGCTTGTGGGCCCAAAGAGCATACTTAGAGGATCAGGGGACTTAGTAAGTAGGGTCATAAGTACCCTAAATAGGGTTATAAGTAGATATAACCATAGTTACCTTACTTATATCCCTACATACTAACCTTACTTATATCCCTACATACTAAGTCCCATGGCCCATGATCCTCCAAGTACTATATAGGGCTTCCGGGCTACTTTGAGCTATCGGGATGGACGAAAATCAAAGCCGCCAGCCCTAAACCCTCGACCTCGATGGTGCAAGTCGACCCAGCACGCCAACCCAGCCTGTCGGATGGTCATATAGTGGCCTAGATGATCACCTATACTATTTTTTGGGAGGTCCCTTACTGTAAGTATACTAGAATGGGCCCCAAAACCCTATTAAACCCCAAACCCCTAAACGCTACACCCTAAACCCCAAACCCTAAACCCCAAACCGTGGCGGCCTCTGCATCCCATCGAGATTCGAGGACAGCAAAGGCGCACAGGGACAGAAACCTGTGAGAGTCTGAGGATGGTAAGGGCTTAGGGTTTAGGGTTTAGGGTTTAGGGTTTAGGGTTTAGGGTTTAGGGCTTAGGGTTTAGTTTATAGGGTTAATACGGCTATAGGATTATAGGGTTAAGGGCTTAGGGCTTATGGGGTTAATACGGTTATAGGGTTATAGGGTTTAGGGTTAATACGGTTATAGGGTTAATAGGGTTGATACGGTTACAGGGTTTAGAATTTAGGGTCAAGGGTTTAGGGCTTATAGGGTTTAGGGTTTATAGGGTTTATAGAGTTTGTGGTTCAGGGGTTTAGGGTTTAGGGCTCAGGGTTCAGGGTTTAGGGTTTAGGGCTTGGGGGGTTTAGGGTGTAAGGGTTTAGGGTTTAGGGTTTAGTGATTAGGGTTTAAGGATTAGGGTTTAGGCATGTTTAGGGATGTTTAGGGTTTAGGGGTTTAGGGTTTGGGGTTTAGGCTTTGGGGGTTTAGGGTTTGAGGGTTTAGGGGTTATAGGGTTTAGGGTTCAGGGTTTAGGGTTTGGGTTTAGGGGTTTAGGGTTTCGGGTCGAAGTGCTTGGTCCAGAAGTTTGGGAATTTGCGACTGAGAGGAGTTTGGGGGGCGAGATCAACGCCCCAAGCCTGGCTCCCAAACCCACGAACCTCGAAACAAATCCTAAACTTCTGAGCTCTAACTTTTATAGGCTTCATAGGGTTTAGGGTTTAGGATGAAAATTACTGGAATGCCCCAAAAACCCAACAAACGGTAACTAAGGCTTCGAGGTGCCCGAATTCCCCCTGGGGTCCAGGACCTAAATCATAGCCGTAAGCCCAAACCGTCAAGTCCAAACCCTGAACACCGGGCGCCGCGCACTAGCACAGGCACAACCAGGACCTGAAGCGAGGATGCAACTCTGAACACGAAAAAGCCGAAGGTTCAATGTTAATAAAGATTATACTATTATTGTAATAAGGAAGCCCCCAAATAGTATTGGCAACTATTTAGCCCCCTATATTTTGCGGACTACTGCTCTCCCTTGTTGTTGTTACTACGGAATATTCAGGCTCTTGAGAGCCCTATTTGTGTAAATGTGTTCTGGGCTCTTGCTAAGGAAGAATGTGAGGCCCGCTGTGGAGATGTTGAAGCACTTAACTCAGAAAGTGTAGTGTCAATCCAGCGTACAAAGTCGGTCGTGCAAAAGCTTCATTATGCACGCTTCTCCCATCTGGGATCCTGAGCCAAAACCCCTAAACTTTAAACCCTAAACCGTGGGTATCTTGGAACCCTAAACCCTAAATCCTAAACCCCGAACCCTGAGCCCGAAACTATACGTTGCATCCGAAGCTCGAAAGCCGCAACCCTAACCTGAAAGGGTCGGGTCGAAGTCCCTAATAATCAGATACCCCCCCCCCCCAAACATACTGAGCTACTGTTGCTGCTGTCCTAAACCCAAAAGTAGGTAGCCATTTCATCCTTTTGGGCCCTTGAGATGCCTCTAATATCGCTTGTGATACTAGTTGCCCTATAGCACCCTGCTAGAACCCTCATGGAGCCCCTCATCAGTGGTCTGTTGGACCCTTGGGGTACCTATAACCTAAGGTTGGAGCCATGGGCCCCTAGTCTGGGCCCTTAACCCTGGGATCCTTACAAACCTACTACATACCCTATATGTACCCTTAAGGGTCCCTAGAATCCCCCTAGAAGGCCTAGGGGGCCATATTAGGGGCCCATACTTCTAATCTTAGACTTCAACCTTAGCCTCAAGCTCCAACGATCGGAACTGAGGAGGCTCAGTGAGGCGACCGAAAGAAGCTTTTGGGTTTGGGTTAAGGGGTTTGGGGGTTTAGGGTTTAGGGTTTAGGGTTTAGGGGTTTAGGGGTTTAGGGGTTTAGGGGTTGAAAGGTGTAGGGGTTTAGGGTTTATTCTTTAGGGGTTTAGGGTTTGGAGTTTGGAGGCATTGGGCTTTAGGGTCTAGGGTTTAGTGTTTAGGGGTTGAGGGGTTTGGGGTTTTGGGTAGCTACCCCGAAACTCCAGAAGCTCTTCATTAAGGAAGCCAGGGGCCCCCATCGGTAGGGTTTAGGGTTTAGGGGAGGCTTTGCGAATGGATGTATGGAGTTGTCTACAGGGTCTTGTAGACTTACCTGCAGATGAGGATGGTAAGGTGCCTTCTAGCAGAACTACATAGAGGCCATACTGTAAGGGGATGTAAGTACTCATTGCTTCTTTCGAACCCTTTTCTGCCTGAATGTCAGATATATGGCATTTAGGATCACTGTATACGTATCGGTAGACTGAATAATTGAGGGGTTGCCGTGTCCCTGAGAAGACCCCGAAAAAGAAGTCTGAAGCAATCAGCTTTTCCTAGAATCTCACTACCCTAAACCCTGAACCCCTANNAACCCCTAAACCCCTAAACCCTGGCGTTTCCTAGAATCCTCCCTACCCTCTTGTAGCCTCAATACTTACACATTTCAGACTCTTGGGGCTCTGAGCCCCAAGCTCTTGTGCCCAAACATAACACCCAAAATTAACAAAAACCTCAGCCCCAAAGCAAGCTAAACCCTAAACCCTAAACCCTAAACCCTGAACCCTAAACCCTGAACCCTAAACCCTAGACACACAACCAACAAAACACAACTCACAGCTCGACTCCCATCCCGAGGCCGGCACACAGACTCTGAA